TTTTTTTTATTTTGTCATGCATCTCAATCTCTTTTCACTGAAGTTGCGAAATGGAAATTTTTATTTATTAAATGCAATAAAGTATTGGTGATTCGAAATATTGACTAAAAGTGTACCTAGAAATTGGATGCGCTGAAATTTCTTTACATCCCTATTGAGTATAGGTACAGTATAAAAAACTCTGAGGTGGTTCGGTTCAATTAATTACTGAATTAAAGTTGGATCTTACACTCATACTTAATGATGACTTTTATACTTCTATAAAATTCAATTATCGATGTTGGAACATTTGTAATATCATTAATTGCAAACTGGTGATATTTTTTTATGGAAATTATCTCTTAATTTGTGTTCCTTTTCCCTTGTTTCAATGGGCAGATACTAAAGTAATTCTGTTAGCCTTTTGTTGCTAATGTGATTATACTTGGTCGCCTGTGTTTGTCTAAGCGTAAAACAGCCATTGATAGATGTTTTTGAGAAAATCTCCACTCTTCGCAGAATGTATGTGTTTAATGCATGGCTTTGGCATGGTAAAATTTGAGCGTAAAAAAAAGTACTGAATTAAAGGACCAATGATTTTTCATTTGTGAATTGCGGAATGAAGTATTTTTGCTTTAATGACACATAGCCCCTTTTATATTTTGAACGCAGATCTTAAGACCTACTGACATAAAACCACTCCCAACATTATGGCACGAAGATAATGGTGGAAGGAACCAGTTCGGGAGGCAAAGGTACTAACTAAACCTAAGATAATAGGGACATTTACCATGCTCATGTCTTGTTATTCATAAACAACTGCATTCTGAATTCTGATCTGACAATATCACATTATAAGATTTATTTTTTAGCTGTTCAAGATATTCTTTTTGAAGGATCTCTAGCATTCATTGATTACAAGGGTACTTGCGCTTATCCAGGTTTCCTTTTTTTTCCTTTTTATTAACAGACCACAGGTATCTGGCACTTTATCTGGTCCTGTATTGGGTGAAGCTGCTTATCGTCTAGTTCATAATACACTTAACATCAAGTCAGAGAGAACCCACCCACGTAGCTTTCAGGGGAATCATGTCGTAAATAAGACGAGACCAGCTGGGCCACCGGGCTATGAAAGGGGTGTTTACTCATCAAACCAATACGACTCGTACAGGCAAAGAGCAGCCGGACAGTCATATGATAGGGGAGCTGGCCGATATGGCTACAATGAACAAGGATATAATTATGAGGATCCGAATTCTCATTATGGAAATTACGGTTCTCGTTTTCAAATGGGTACAGCTGCTAGTAGTTATGGTGCCTACCCAAACAATATGCAAGGCAATTACAACGTTGGTTATAATACGGAAAATAGATATGATCATGAACTAAGAAATGGCATGTCGGCTTTGACCATAGAAAGTGGTTCTAGAAATAGGCCACGTGCAGCATTAACTTCTAGATCATCTCAAGTGATTCCTCAATCTGTGGTGAATGCTGACTCACCTCCTACACCACCTCCTAAATGGATTGGGAGACCTGCAGTCGGGAGTTCTGTGATTTATCCTAGACAGCAACAGATTTCAGCAGGTACAGGACAGGAGAGGCAGGTGAAGTTGGTATACCAGGTGAAAAATAAGTCGACACGAAGTCTAGTGGAGGATTCAGAGCTCGAGCAGTGATTGACGAGTGTGGGAGTTTGTCTCTGACATCTGGTGGAATATTCTTGGAACTTTTTGAGCAAATGAGAGTGAAATGTTGATGAATTCCAAATATTGGTTGTCTTACAGTTCTTGTTTTGGGCTTTTAAGATGGAAGGTGATTGTAATGTGTTTCAAGCGTGAAGCAGTTGTGCTGCTCATTTTGCCAGACAGAATATTGTTCGAGGTGAAGTTTGGATTAGAAAAGGACTATAAATAGATGGCATGATAGGATTCTTTTGGTATTTTTCTATTTCTGTTTTTGGTTTACAGGGGTCTGATGTATGTTCTACACCTTGTTGACAACACCAACTAGTTTAGACAATGGAGATGACACTAACCTGTGAATGACTTTATTGACTTCAAGCCGTGAACTTCAATCCCAATGGGTTATACATTTCTGTCGATTATTTTTTTGTTCGTGTTTTGAGTCTTGAATACGACTTATCTTTACAGGGTGATACTATAAGAAATCCGAAGTTTCTGTTTAGACAATGGATGAAATCCCCTATTTCTGTTGCATACACAATTCTGTTGCACATTTGCGAACATGCAAAATATTACTTTTGGGTTCTATGATATACTTTGGTTGTAGCGAGTATTTGAATTGAGCCATTACATTTTTCGGCAGAGCATATTAGGGGTCACGATTGGCACGATACGAAAAACAAACACTGACATGAAACGATTATATAGACAAATGACAATATTGGCATGATTTCCTTTCCTGCTGTTTCATCAGAGTTTGAACCAAGTTAGTTGAAACTTCATTATGAGACTTCTGTTTTCATACCCATTGCAGCACCTATATAGAGAGTTATGGCTTACTGCAGCATTTGCAACTGATAATTTACGTAGTCTACGACAAACATTCCAAGAAGACGAAGCACATCTCAAGAGGTTGCTCTTTCAAGAACTTTGAAATAACATCTTAATCACCATATACTGCTAAATGAACAATATAAACTACTACGGCGAAACGAGAAGAAAAACATGCAAAATAAACTACAGCGGAACATAGAAGGAAAATGACGAAACACTAAATGAACAGAACAAGATAAGAGAAGCCAAAGACGGCATCTGGTAACTAAATAAGAGAGCCTTCTTAATAAGTATGAATGTATATGATAGCGAAAAAACAAGACTACAAAAAACTTCAACTTCTTGTCACATAAAGAAGAAAAAAGAACAGAAAAAATTGCCAAGGTGATAATCAGTTAAGCTTGCTGTTATTATTGTTTGCTTGAGAGTTCCTCTGATTAAGCCTAGCAGCAGCTGCAATAGAGGCAGCAACCCCTCCCGGTCGGGTGCACAGGTCCGGATCATTCCTTAGTTCTGCCCCGATCACACCTTCCGCATCCTTACGAGTCACCGGCTTATCCGAAGGAAGCTTTGCACTTGCATCCTGAGATATATATATATATCCCCCCCCAAAAAAAAAAAAAAAAAATCATGAAAAACTTCATATTATAACCTCAACAACTTAAAGAAATACTCCATCACCTCACTATAATAATGATAAATAAAGAAGTGGTAATATCACTGAATGGCCATGTAGCTTTTAAAAAGATAGAAAATAGCCACTTTTTTGTGGAAGTATGAAATAATAATCATTTTGTCATGTGAAGTGACACAATCACCCTTACTATCAAGGACTTTCTGAAAATCCAGTTTTTGGGAGTAAAGGTAATTGTGCATGACAAAATGACAATGTTATATTTCATCTTTGCATTTGTTACTTAACTATAAAACCAATACCGTAAGAATGTCCCCTAGCTTGGTCTTGTCCTCATCCCTCGGGAGACGAGCATTACGGGTAGCCGCCGACTGGGCGGCAGCGGCAACCCCGCCAGGGACGATGTTGGTACGTCCAGTTGCCCGGACCTCTGCCGCCTGTATAGCAGCGGCATCACTGTAGTCGACCGGAAGGTGGCCGGAAGTCAGAGCCGTAGCCTCCAATGCTTCACCAATCGTAATCTCCCCTTTCTGCTGCCCGGCGATTGGTTGCTGGGGGGACCCACCGCAGATCGACTCACTTTGCTGCTGTTGTTGCTGCTGCTGCTTCACCACCTTCACTAGTTTATGCTAGTGTTATCACCACTACTTGATTCACACTATTTGCAAATAATTTACAAGGGAAAATCTTCGATTTTCCAGCAACCATGACACAACCATATGCATGTATAATTACATGGCATTTGTTTGTGTTTTCGTTTTTCGAATGAAGTTGCTTTACAAAGCTCGTTTTTATTCGCCCTTAAGGTCGAAAAACGAAAACAAAAATATGAACATGACACCAACCAAATCAAGACTCTTGAAAACAATGTAAGCAATCACTTTCAGAAGACTCCATTCGAAAAATATTAATTTGAACGGTTTTCACACAAACTAATTTCTACCGACCAAAAAATGTTCGTGCGCCAAATGGATTGAACAAGTTACCTGGACACCGATGGACTCCATCTGGCTAGCAGCAACATCCCGTGCGCTTGCATGGCCCACGAGGCCAGCTCTCTCGTTTGAAGTACTTTTTGTCATTTGATCATGAGCAACATTATCACCATCCAGTTTGCAGTCTTTAAGGTTCTTGATCAGCTGTTCTTGGCTCATTATTCTTTCCACTTATGGGAACTCAATACTAGCTTTTTTTTCTCTGTGGTGAAGAGCAGGGGATCGGAAAACATTGGCGAAGATTATACGCGCACGCACGTATTATATTAATACGTAAAGAGATACATGAAGGTATGTAGTGTGGATGGTGGAAATTGAAGGAGGAGCAAGTGCCCAAAAATTCTCTTGGACATTAGTTCTAACTTTGAGACTTAGTCTTTTGGATGAGTGAATTATGGATCTCTCTCGGCCTCTGGCTCAGGATAAATTGCTAGCATACTAATTATAGCCTTTAGTTTTGTTATTCATCAAAGTACATTTGTAGTCTCAATAGCATCTTTAAATTCAATTTACCAGAAAAAAATGTCACATGTCAAATTAATGGGGAAATGCTAAGGTCCCGTTACGGAACCATTCCGTCGGGGTCTGTAACCGTTAGATTATCATGTAACCGTCAGAGATAGTTGATCTAACGGTTACAAACCCCGACGAAATAGTTCCGTAACGGGACCATAGCATCTTCCCAAATTAATGTATGGTGATATGAAAGTTATGCATTTCTTGATATGCATTTGGAAAATATGATGAGACATGGAACTCTTCCTTTAGCTAGCCAAATGAAAGTATAAGAAAACTAGGATTTTAAACCAAGTTTTTTTGTGATCAAACTCTATTCACTATCCATGAGCAAATAATAATAATGCATGATCTTCCCTATATTATCAAAGTTTTACTGTCATCTTTCAAATAATATTATGGAAGATGACGTTCTAGAACAACATTGAGAGAAGGTTTATTTGCAAAACAAATCACAACCTTTACTTCATTGAAAAAAAATAAAAATAAGTGGTATGAATTTTTTTTTTGTATGTGTATGAAAGTCGAATTTTAGGTTGATTTGTTATAAAATCAAGGTGTTTCCAAATTTTAGCATATTTCCATAATAACTTGTCATGAGATATTGATGATAATTCAGCAAATTGATATGTATTCCTCTTGAAAATTATAAATATTTTGAACAAATATTGGTTAATAAAATTTATAATTTAGTTCTAGTGAATTAGTTTATAATTTGAACGATAAGGTAACAAAGAACAAATTTAGAAAATTGTGATATAACATATATACATATATATATATATATATAAGGGAATTTATTGTGTAGTCCAAATTTGAGTTTCAAATTTAATAGTCAAATAAGTAATTATTCATAACTTACGAGTCAATATTAACTTGGATGTAAATAAAGTTTAATAAATTATTCAACTACTTTTTATTTTATTTTATTTTGATAGTTTATTCAAAAATAAATTCATTTTAATTAATGAAACAATATAAGTTCTATAATTACACTTATTATCCACATATTTCTAAATATAAGATTAAATTTTACCAAAATAAATATTTTATGGAATCTCATTGTGGTCAAACCGAAATTCTAAATAAAAATTTTAAAACTAACACTTATTTTATATTAAATATAATGTAATTTATTATCAAATACGGGCACCGTACGAGTTGTATACTAATTTTAAATAGACATGTTTTATAAATTTTGCACAATTTAAAATTTCTTATAACAATTTTCGATAAATTAACATAAGTAAATTATATTATATATTGATTTCACATTTTTTATTTATAAATATGATTTAGTAAATATTTTAATTTATAAATATTAATGAATATCTTTTACCTGTACATCGCACGAAATTCATACTAGTTACAAGTTTTAAGCCACGAACTAAGAATTTGAGAGCAACAACTTTCACCATCTGCAAAGTAAATAAGAAAAAGAAATAAATAAAAAGCAACTCAAATAGGAACTATAGTGATGCAGAATAATTATTGATATTATTATTACTAGTTAGTTTGGAGAATAAGCTAAGTTAGTTTAAGAATCTTATTTAAAGAATTCGTGTGCTTTGTTATTAGGAGAGTTGATTTTGAATGAAATAAAATATTGTGAGTTTTATGTGTTTTACGAGAGATTGGTACGTTTTTCCTACATCATATAGTTTGGAACCTCAGCACAACTGCCACACCAAATTCTAAAATCTACCCGCTTAGACTATAAATCCTATTGTCTCTATAGTCTATTCAGATGTGGTTCTTTGGAATTCCATTTGATATTGTTGTAGTAGATGAGCTATTTTTTTTTTTTTTTTTTTTTTCATTTAGTAGTAATTAAATTGGTCTCTATTCACGTGATTAAAAAGATTTTTTATAAATTAATTAAATTATATAATTAAATTGAAATAATGCATGAAACTACACTAACTTTAAAACATTTCAAGTTTAACGACAACCAATATAATATAAACTTCTATATTCCATTTTATAATAATACAGATAATGCAAGTCATACTTGAAAAATTGTACATAAATTACAATTAAAGTAAATATCGCTTTACAAAGTTTTGACTTTTTTGTACCGAGACAATACTCCACTATATTTATGAACTAGTACAACACTTGTGATTATACGGGCGCTAGTTAATAAATTTTATATTGAAATTCTTAAAAAACTATAAGCGAGATAAATATTTTTAAAAAAAAAGAATATTTATAAATGGAAGAAGAAATGTTTTTTTTTTTAATCTAAATTTCTAATACTTTTTAAGAGTTTATATTATTATTTATATTTAAAATAAGATTTTTAACTACGATTTTTCATTCTTATATTAAAATAATATTTTAATTCATATAAAATGAATATTAAAGATAAAATTTTAATTGATATATAATTTTATTTATTTTAAATAGTATTAAATATTAATAGATGATTTAAATTATAATAAATAAAGCTAATATTTTTAATTATTTTATATATGCAATATGGATATCAAATAAAAACTTTATCAAAAAATATTTTATTGAATATAATCTAATAACTAATACAAAAGTTATTAAGATTTAAAATATATTTACATGTTAGATTAGTGAAGCGTTACAACTTTCAAAGTCTCGAACCTACATGAACTACTCGAAGCACCAGAAATTGACACATAATGCCAGAATATGATACATAATTCTGAATTAACATATATGAGGGGATTTGACGAAAGGATGCGCATAAAACGTCGTTTTATTTATATTGATGCATTAAACTTGAGCAAAGACCTGGTTGTGTGTTGATGCAGCAATGAAAGCGAATTGGCCACGAGTCTAATAAACAGCCAAAAACCACATCGGTTGAACTATCCAACTTCCAGGTCCATTGCTGAGCACATTCCGCTTTGATAATTATTAGGTACAATTCATAAATTTACTTCAAATATATTTGCTATACTTCTCTACAAGGCTTCGGGCATTCCCCATCTCAAAATGAGAACCGATTTCGAAAATATAAAATTAAAAAGTGCCTTGTGTGTGGTGGAATGAGAAGGAGAATCGCATTTCACCACACAAGGCAACCTCACCACGAAAGTTAAACCTCAAAATTTCTATGCTATAGTTGCACGCTATATAAAAAGGCTATTTCTACGACATCAAATTTAACCAGGTGATACAGGTCAACAGTAGCAAGTTTAGTACTTAACAAAGACAATTTTTTCTGTTAGTTCTGTAATGGCTGAAGTTCTTGCTCGGCTACATGGAGTTCTTGCTCGGTTACAGCAGAATCAATGGTTTCGTATGCTAGCACTGATCTCTTTCTCCTCCAAATGACCCATGCCCCAGACGCCAATAATCCAGCAACTATCACAACAACAGATGCCCCAACTATAACCAAGTAATGTTGCTGCAACCAAGTCCTGCAAATTATAAAAAATAAATAAAAAATCCAAATATCACTTGGGAAACATTTATGCATTTAGATGCAGGGTAGATCTCTCGCTTAGCCTAGTCATTGGGAAAAAGGAAATTCAAAATCTCCAGAAGCTCCTCGACATTTTTTTGCCTTTTACGTGATATACACTCAACAGGTGGTATTTGATGGGTAAATTCGAGCCTCAAAGGAATCATGGTAACACTTTAATAGGCTTCTTGCAGTTTTCGATACAAGTGTATTAATAAGCTGAACCAAAATCTGAAGAATGCATATCATCAGTAACCATTAGAAAAATACCAGTGATCATGCATAAATGCGTCATTTATCACATGGTGTTTATGTATTTTGATTTATTGTTAATAAACTTTAAATACTAAAAAGTGATCGCAAGTCACAACAGCAAGTTGCCCGTATAAAAACCAGATGTGAGAAGTAGCAACAAGGAGAAATGCAAAGAACTGTGTGGTTTCGTTATAATATCACACAAAAAAGAAGACTACACTCTTAAGCTTGATGTTGATTGGTAAGACGGATGATGCTCTTTCACTTAGCAAGATTTCGCCCATAAACTGATTCATGTGTATGAGCAATAAAGAAACATCTTGTCTGACTAAGAGACAAACACTCTACTTAGTGCTATACCAAAATGCCAACTCTGGCAAACTATACAACCTTCTCATCGGCACAAACAGGTCCATATTAGTCTTCTATTCTAAGATAATGCAACAAATGGCTTAAGTAGATGACTACAAATTGATATATCCAACTGTCAGATGACACACTTCTGTAACTTCTCACTAGAATATGAATAAACTACCTTCGTATACGCACAGGTGAGACTACACTCTTTACTTCCGATATGACTAGTAAACTATGTTGTGCCCTTTACACCTATAGGACACTAGCTTCAAAATACGGAGACGAAGAGAAGTATTTTGTCTGCTTTTTTTCGAGACTTATAAAATATTCAAATTGGTACGCCCAGTATAAAAATCCAAATTGGCACAAGAACAATACTAGTTTCCAAAAACTTCTTCAAATTTCAGCAATTTATAACGTGAAGCTGCTACTTTGTTCCAATAGCGTGATTATTTTGTCCTTATGCTACAACTAACGATAAATCCCATTGCGAGCCTAATTTTCCCGGTAAGATTTGGTTTTGTGGCATTTAGCGGAACATAAAATTCAACCATATTTTCTTTACCTTTCTGGTGGTGGTTCAATTTTCCATTCAAACAGTTTGTAACTTCCAAAGGTATCAGGAAGATGTATATTATTTCCATTCAACCTGGATATGATATCCTGCAATAGAAGAAAATTAAAAGCCTAGGCCCTTGGAACAAAATTATTTAGAAAGGGCCGGTAGCTCTAGAAGTTCATACTGTGGCAGTAGCATTAGAGATAAATTCAACAGATGCTCCAGGGAGAACAGCCCATCTTATTAGCGTATTGTTTTCTGTGGAAGTGACATTCATCAGTTGGACCTGCAAAAATTCATCTTAAAACATAAGTCAAAGCCTGAAAAATTACAGTTAGACGAACATATCAGCTAAAACAAATTAAACGAAATTTAGCTATGATATACTACAAAAGTCCTACCTGAGAAGCATTAACTCCTAACTCCTTTGCAATAACATTAGCAAGTTCTGAGATATGAGGCTTTAACTCTGGATACTTCACAGTCAACAACATATAAAATGTTATCAGACCTATTTTAATTTCCCCTGCAAACCGAATACACGTCAAACATGTGTCATTGTCAACACTACTAAATTCATGAGTTTAAAATTGGTCTATAAACACCGATTTGTGTGCTGAATAAGGGTTAAGAAAAAAACGAACAAATTCAATGCCATTAATGTGAACTATAAAACACGAATGTGCATTATGATTCAGATTTGGATAGCACACTCTTTGAATACCAAAAATAATTTCTGGAAACTACTCATTGAGGATAAAAGAATTGCATCCCACAGTTAAAATATCAGGACCAAACAAGCACACAGTGGTGGACTGTGCCTCATGCATCACGTGTCTTTAACAGCTATTAGAGTAGTCTTGTCTAAAAGATATGATAAGATCCTCATCATCACATCCTCATGATTCCCATAAGGCTTTTTATCATCCCAGCAATTAAAACCCAGACTATTACCATAGAACATCCCCTATCCCCTACGCAAAAGCCCAATTCCTAACTCCTATATCCATAAAGGTAAAATGAATTATGAGGCACGCTATAACTGAAAATAGTAAGTCATGATGACAGTTTTGGAAACCAATGTTCCCACATTATTGAAGATGTTATTTTTGTTTCAGCATCCCACATCTCAGTAGTTATTATGACGCTTTTAGGGGATAAGAACAAAAACAAGAAGTGGTAAAAGCTGATCAGTCAAGCCATCATCTAAGATTCAAAGATTTGTCAAGCCAAGGAGATAAATCATGTGTAGTTGCGAAGTTCTTATCCTCAAGAACCTCAGAAGCATTAAACAAGGCTAATTGGAAAATGGCCTTTAAGATTCGCTGCTCCAAAATAAAAGAACCATTAGTGCATAGATCTAAATGAGAGACATTAGAAGAGAGAGTAGTAACATAATATACCTGGAGCTATTTGCAGCGGAGGCTCAGTAGGAGCCAGCGAAGGGCTCACAGCCATGGTTGAGTTCGTCTCATCTGTGCCAAAAGGTGGTGGTGGTGGAGGGACAGAGGATAGGTGAAGTCTCTCCCATAATTCAGAGCAGTTGGTCTTCCAGAAACCAATACTTTCATGTCCACGGTCATAAGTTACAAGAGTATTCCGAACAATAATACCTACAGAGAGAAAGATAATGAGAAATGCACTTCCTCGACTGTAAATCTTACAATAAAAAATGAACCGTACCCCCCAGAAGAGTGGTTGGATCTTTTCCATTCTGAAAAATTCCAAGGCAGTATGCACCATGCACCTTTGAATGCTGTACATCAACAAAGAGCACATTAATCTCTCATAAAGGAAATGATATTTCAATGTTGGAAGAAACATAAATAATAAAATGATAGGCAATAGGCCACATCTATTTGTTGTATTTAAAATTGCGCAACAGATTACTATGCTAGTCAAAGGCAATCCTTTAGAAAATTAAAAGTGAAGATAGAACATACTCTGAACAAGTAATTTTCAGGGGACAAGAGGAGCTTCTGTCCATGGTCAAACACCATTTCAACTGACGGAAAGACATTCGATAGTTGTGAAACATCACTGAAGCAACAGTAGTATTTACCATCACTTAGGCTACACAAAAAGTGAACACCTGAAATAATTATTATCTAAAGATGACAGCATATTACCTTCCAGCACCTGAGAAACAGATATCATTGTAATTAGGATCTGGACCTTGTATTCTCTTGAGGGAATGGAGTTCCTTCAATATCTACATCCCAAAATGGGAAACTTAGAAAAAGAATATAGCATAGAAGCATCAGATTTCAGGTAGATGACGGTGGTGTAATCCACAAAGAGAATATCTTACAGCATCTTTGAACGCTTTAAATGCCATCTCTGGAAAGTAGGCGTATGTTGTGCCACTATCCAAAACAGTTCCATGTTTGCCATCAAAAATCCTGGGACTAAGAGACAGCATCTTCCCAGCAACATGTATCTCCCTCAGCTCAATATTGTAGTATGGACTGTTGCCATCCCGAAACTAGAGTAAATGTGTGAGATGTATCAAGGGTATTGTTAGGAAAGAGCCTAACACTCCATAGTATTACCGCAACAATCTTCCGATACGTACCTGCGCACAGGGTCTGAACGGGTAAAAACCATATCATCAGGAAGTGATATTCCTCCAAGAACCATCGCCCCACCACCCACATCCATGCCGCCATAACACAAGGAAAATGAATCAGTAATAACACCTTTCTCAACAAGTTGATCCACAATACTAAGATCTCCTCGACCCAGACCCATTATCCCATCAGCATGCTGACTGTAAAGATCACCTGTTTCCATATTCTCACAACCAAAAACAGCCCGTTGTGGCTCTAGTTCACTTTGGTTTCCAAAAGACACAATGTCCTCACCTAATACTCCACTGCTTGAACTCATTTCCGCATATTGCCTTTCATAAACACATTGCTCTCTTGCATTATCACAAGGACAGTCAATGTTGCATTTGACAGGGTGGTAAGTGCTTGACAAATCTGGTTTGAACCTCGGATCCTATTGAAAGAGAAATCCAACAAAACTTTTCCAATGAAAATGAAAGAACAGCAGCAGATGAAAGCTATATCCAGAGTACTATAAGTTGCTATTACTGGCACGTATCTTACTACAATGTTGGCCAAACAGCCATCACACAAAATCTGACAATAAATCAGATATGGCATTCCGTATCCAGAAGATAAAATACAAAAAAACTGCTTAAATATACAATGGGAGAAGCCATTTATTTCACAAATGAAATCCAAAACATACCCTTTTTATTGATGAAAGTAATACGTACTTTTTCTATTCCAAAATGGCTAGTGACGCAATATTAGTGTTAAGGCCATTACTTTCTTTATTTGTCCTCCTATTTTAATAAATTTTCTCCTTTTTTCTTATAGAGAATCTATCCTGGTCATGCTAAGCATTTCAAATATGTAAAAACAGCTTCTAACACCAGTCTCTGCACAAATTGGATAGGGACTGTGAAAGTCGTATCGTCCATCTAAGCTCATTTGAAAATTTTATATTATCACAGTACAAGAACAGAACATGAACTAGTCTTCCTCAATTATAACTTCACGTTGAACACAACCAGCTAACGTCGCACAACACTTCGAATTCTGATTAATACTTACCAACTCCAAATTATACGACCATTTCAAAATCCAAAAGCACGATGATTGATGCATAAATTACAAGATCAAATATCATCGACTCATCGTTCAATCACAAAATATAATGAAAATCAACATCACAAAAGCCAGAATACAAGACCTGATGCTTGCCACACTGTTTGCAAGTGGAGCATGGAACGTAAGTCACGGTACTGCCGGTATCCACTATCAGAGCAAATCTCTGCGGCGGCGTCCCGATCCACAGACGAGCCGTGTAATACCTGCAAACACCGCGGCCATAATATGAAACGTCAGCAGTCACAATTTTGAGTCCTTATCTCACCGTATCGCAATCAATACTATTTTTTAAGAAAAAAAAAATTAAGATAAGCCGCCGGAGACCCGTTGAGAAGGAGATCGTCATGGAGAGGCATGCGGGCGCTTAGGGCGCTGCGGCCGCGGAGATGGCGCCGGTTATAAAATCCCTCCTTGTGGCGGCGGTCTTGGTCAGGGTTGTTGAAGTACAGCGGTAGAAACATGGCGGTGCTACTATTACTGCCGCGATTGAGAGAAATAATCGATTCGCCGTTCGGTGGGATGTGGGGCGATGCGAAGGCGGCGACGGCCGTTATGGCGGAGGAAAGGACGGTGAGAATAAGTGCCCAAGCCATTGTGTATTGATTTGGCCGATGGCGAGCCGCCTGAGGTTGGTTGAGCTGCACCGCTGACCGGAAAAAAGAGACACATAAAAGATGAGAGAGAAAAGAGAGCAGTGGAAAATGCTTCCCTGCGCGTTGTTTTTAATGCGCAGGTGAGAAATTTCTGTCTTTTTTCTTTTTCCTTTATTATTCTCTTTCTTTTCTCTGATTTTTATTTTTGGGAAATGTTTGCATAACCATTATGTCGGGATTTGTAACTCTTAGATCATCATGTATAATGTAACCGTCATGAATAGTTGATCTAACAGTTACAAACTCCGACGAAATTGTTCTGTAACAGTACAGTAGAATCTCCCTTTACTTTTATTTTGTATTGTATTTTATTGGCCCATTTATGCTGTAGCTGCAAGGTATCTATCTATCTACATGTAGAAGAGTGCAATTGCCTATCAATAACCAAGTCATACACTTCATCAAATTGACAAAGATTGTTTAGCAAGAAGTGATGTGATGAGCAAGTCATACACTTCATCAAATTGACAAAGATTGTTCAGCAAGAAGTAATGTGATGAGTCCCTTTGGCGACATGCGATAAAATTGGAACGATACAGAGAAGATTAGCATGACCCATGCGCAAGGATGACACGCATAAATCGAGAAATGGTTCAAAAGAAGTGATGTGATGAGGGAATAAAATTGGAAAATAGCACAAATTATTTTAACTGACAAAAAAATAAAATATAATTTTTATTTTTTTCAATCAAACATTTATTTATATTGATTGCCTTTTCTCCCAAATCGTTTATAAATACTCAACTAATTTGTCAAAAACACTCATTCCAATCACTCCTACTCTAACTGAGGTACCCGAGCCAAACATAGTCTCATTTCCTCCAATTCTTTTTTTTCTTCAAAAATCAACATGAGTCCCCAGTTTGATAATTTGACATACTTGGCAAAAAATAAGAACATGGTCGCAAAGCTCCGATTGGTCCGAAATTATCCAAAACAACACAAGTCAAACAAAGAAAACATAAGAGAGATGGAATTCATCTTTCATAATGTTAAGGTGTTTAATTTTATTTAATCTTTTTTTATTGATTTAATTTAATTGTGTGTCAAATTGATATGTTGCTAATAATATAATTTTTTTTCTTTTTTTTTTTATGGGCAGCGAATACATGGTTGGGTACCCTGTTTTTGGCACAAAAGTTCAAGGAGTTTAACCTTCTCGAAGGATGTGTGTACGAGATTACAAGTTGGGACGTGAGGAGGAAAAAAAATACTTTCAAATTAACCGAATCAAGTCATAAGTTTCAGTTTGGTCAAGAGACAAACATGTAGGAGATTGTTGAGGACAACTACCCAAGGTTTATGTTTAACTTCAAAAATTTCAAAGAGCTATTCGACCCACAAACAATTGATTCCAACAAACTATTTGGTATTTTTTTTCTTTATGTGTACAAGTATTCTTATCCTTGTGTAGGGGTGAGCATGGTGCGGTTCGGTCAAAAACCGAACCGCACCGCAAAAAAACCGAAAACCGATTTTCTGAAATTTCTTAACCGCACCGCACCGCAAGAGGAAAAAAAACCGAACCAAACCGAACCGAAATGTTCGGTTCGGTGCGGTGCGGTTTTTCGGTTAACCGCAAATAAAAATAAATTACTATAAATAAGAAAAAAAAATACAAACAACATCCATTATGATTATGCCATTACAAAATGAAAATTAAACAACCAAAATAAATCCAACACTCAAAGTTTTTTCTTGTTTTTATATTTTAAAATGCACTTGTGTACAAAATATATGTAAAAATGAAACTAAAATGACATTTTTTTAATATGCGGTGCGGTTCGGTTAAAACCGCACCTTTCGGACGGGAAACCGAACCGCACCGAAACATATGCGGTTTTCCAAAATCCAAACCGCACCGCTAACCGAGCTCGTCCAAAACCGCACCGAACCGCACCGAATTGCTCGGTTCGGTTCGGTTTTTCGGTTTCGGCTCGGTTTTGCTCACCCCTATCCTTGTGTATAAAAGGTTAAATTATTGTTTTATTTTTTAGATTGATTGGATGTATTGCTCTGGTCCAAAGCATACGAACAACGAATTCAAATGGTGTGGCAAAAAAGTTCATCAATGTTGTTCTAGAAGATGATGGGTAAGTTATACTTCATAATCACTTTGTTATATTTTGAGTAATTAAGATGTTATTTGATATTAAAAATTTATTATTTATAATTTTTTAGGAGATGCCATTTAACTTGCACATTGTGGGAGTGATATGTGTAATTTTTTGTTGATGCCTTGAACAATTCCTCTACAAATGACTTGCGTGTGGTCATTGTTCAATTTTGGTGAGCAAAGGCTCTTGAAGATGGTACAGTTTTCACTTCGGTTGATATTTTTTATTTAACTTACAATTTTATTGTTATCTCTCAAAAATTAATTTGCTCTTTTAGGCTCTATAAAATTTGTAAACATATTTGATGCTACGAAGCTAATAGTGGGTGAAGTGCCCGAAATATTGGATTTCAAAGAAAGGTATTGAACATTTAATTATTTTTTATAATTTCCTATTATTTTATATTATACTTGATCAATTTAATATATATTTATTTTTCGAAATTAATTAATTGATTATAAAGGTACACCTCACACATAAGGCTAAGTGATTCATCGATCCAACACTATTGTTGAGAGCACCTACCCGATGTTCAGAAGTGCAGGTGACGATCTTAGCTATCCGAATAACAGAGTCATACTCGCCCCCACACTTGATGTGGTTGAGTCCGTTAACAAGTACATGAGCTCACTGAACTCATCCAAGGGAAGGACTTATTTGAGTTCGGACACCTCGTGCAAGTCAGATGTTGGATATGATTCTCTTGAAGATCTTCACACTCCTAAATTTCTCAATGGGATCAAGTGCTCTGGACTTCCGAATCATAAACTGCACCTTAAGGTCGGCACTCCAGTGATGCTTCTTAGAAACACTGATCACTCCATGGGGTTGTGCAACGGTATTGTTCATCAAAATTCAATCTATCAACTATATTTCCTTTTATCTTTGTACAAATTTGAGTGATATGGTTTTATTAATTTTCTGAATTTTGATGTTAACAAGTACACGATTGGTTATCACTAAGCTCAGCAGTCATGGTCTCGAATGCAGGATTTTAACCGGCTCCACAACTGGTGACAAGGTTCTTATTCATAGACTCACAATCATACCATCCGATTTGAGGGTACCGTTCAAATTTCTGCGTAGACAATTTCCGCTCATGGTTTCATATACTATGACTATCAACAAGAGTCAAGGCCAGTCACTGTCCCACGTCGGCTTACTATTGAAGAACCGTGTATTTAGTCATAGACAGTTGTATGTGGCACTATCTAGAGTCACAAATCAGAGGGTCTTAAGATAATGATTTGTGGTGCCTCGATTTTACACGTGTGATACATGTTCCTTCTACTTCTACAAGCAAAGCTCTTCGGATTGCATGGCCTTTATTAGATATAAGCTTGTTCATTCCTTACTGCTTCTAGAGAATCTTCTATTGAAAATAGATGTGGATACGCGCGTGCGCCCATACCAACCTGGTAAGGAGACTGGCTATCTAATCAGAAGTTCGATGTAATTGACGTGACCAAGCTCTTATCCTCCTTTTTGAAAGGAAAAACCTTTGACTGGCGATTGAATGAGTTGGTTTGTGGTAGCCTTTCGGCTTTTGTACAAGCGGTACCTCCTATTATGTCTCCATTGGACTCTGAGCGTCTATGGGCTCAGCCTCATGGAACCCAAGTTACATGGATGAAGATAGAAGCATTCTTACGGGGATGGATAGAAGCATTCTTACGGGGATGGATATAAGACTACGGACACAAACAACAAGGATCAATACGAAGTCATCAAGGGGAACAACTTGCAACACACAAAGTCCCTTCCAAGGCCCGACGGTGTCAGAGGGTTCTATCTTTCCTCAACTGCTGGCTGTACAAATAAGGGAAGAAAAGGGTCCAGCCTAATTCGTCTATTGCTTTCCCTCCACACGACTCTCTCCTCCCCGTTCGGTTTGTCAAAGAAAGGGCATTGGTTTACCATCTAAAGCAAAAGTTTTTGGTTCGTTGGTTCCCAAGAGATTTTGACGGTAGAAAAACCACGAACGTTGTATATAAAGAAATATTTAATGATTTAGATTTTCTTGCTTAATTTTTTTCTCAATAATCATGTTATGATTCTTACCATTGTTTTTTCTCCTCTATCATATAGCTTTCAGTGCAAATGCACGGGTTAAAAACTAGTTATATATAGAGAGAGATATATATAGATGATAAAGTTCGTAATGGTTTTTGGTGGGAAAATTATGAGATCTTATTAAATAGGTTTTATTAAATGATCTGCCAACAATTATATATATACTAGTACTCATCTTGTGCATTTGCACGGAGGAGAATACGTAGAAAATACTACAATATATATAAAAAAAATACATAATCATAATTTAATTCATCAAAAAAATTATGAATTATGAAAATGATTCTAAATATTATTAAACACTTCTTTATATACACTATCTATGGTTTCATATCGGAATCACCATCACCACATATCATTATCTTCATACTCTTCCGATTCGTGACTCTAGAAAGAGCAATGTACAATTGTCCATGATTGAAAACATAGTTCATCAAGACTAACCCGACGTGTGAGAGAGACTGGTCTTGACTCTTGTTGATCGTCATAGCATAGGAGACCATGATAGAAAATGGTCTCCACTGAAACTTGAACGATAGCCTCAAACAAATATGTATTAATAAAATGTTTGCCGAACTTGTTATAGTTGTCATCAAATATAAACATTGAGTCAAAATTATCTACTTAACAATAATTGCTTCATAAACAGTTGTTGAATTGGGATGGATAACATATTAAAAAAAGTGGTGAACTGGGCTTTTTTTTTTTTTAAATTTTGTAAAGGTGACTTTGGCCAATATTCTCAGTAAG